CCCCCTCAGAAAACCACCTGCTTCGATTTGGGCACCCGGGCAGTACCACAGCCCCCACACAAATCTCATTTGATTTGTATGTATTTTGTGCCTCCTTGTACTAATATCTATGTGTTAAGATAAATAATGAATAAATAAATGCAAGTAACTTTGGACGAAATATGGACGACATTATCAGAGTATTGATGATAATGAGAAATCGACAGATTAATCAATGTCCTTATTAAAATGTTCAATTTACCGTTAGTCATTAATATAAACTTTTTAAACTGAAAAGCAGTATATCCAGAAGATTAATGATTATAAATATAATAATGAGTGATAAACAGTTGTGTATGGACTACGAATCTATTTATTTCTATCAGGTGGATATGTTTAGATCGATAATTACAATTTATGGAAATGTGAAATATCTTACTAACAAACAATGTCAATAATTAGTTATCATGCACAAAAACCTTGATTTTCTACCAAGAAAACCCACCAAGAACTTTCGCATCAGAAAAAAGATAAATTATAACCTACATTCCGAACTCCACTGCTTCCTACTACAATCATCGAGTTCTTATCTGTTACTGGATTACTTAATCAGTGTTCTTATTTTTACCGCTCTACTACTTAAGGCTTATGTAATGAACAAGCTCAAAAATGTTTGACACAATTTTCCATACTAAGTTCCTCAAATTTCTTTGGTATGTCGCTTTTAAATATTGACGTTTCTAAGGTACCCTTAATTGCATCTATACCATACTATTTAGAGATAAACGGTATTACGTCCCATGGCTGTCCCTTCATCTCATTCAAATTAAATGAGTGTACTTGGATCTCAGTGTGCTAGTGTGTTCACTTGAATCTTTACATAACATTCACTTCTTGCTTTGAGATCGAGAGAATATGCACACATTCCATTAAAACCTAAGTAGCAACAGTAATTATGGAGTTTAACAAGAATGAAATTATTAAACTTCCAACCTACTTTTGAATCGTTTGATAGAAATATTTCAGATTTGTGTAGTAAGTTACCTTACATTAAGTTTATCTAAGTGGTTTCTTGATAAATGTTGCAAACTGAAGTCTTTGTCCTTATAAACAAACAATCGTAAAATTATGCGGTTTTCAAAATTTTAATTCCTCAGGTCAGTAGCGTTACCAGTTCAAACAAGAGAGAGTGGATGAATATAACGTTGAAACAGTATTGTAGAAGTAAACACATTATGAATATTTCGAAAAACTTACTAGGTCAACCTAAGGACATAATGAACGTATTGATATAGTTGACAAACGTCAATATAAAAGTTTGAAATTATTACATGAGTTACAATTAATTTGTTCCAACTGATGGCAAAGCATTTACGTAAAGGATATATATAAACATTCTCTCATTGTATTCGATGGGAATTCTATATTTCGACTTGAATAGCGATTATTATTCTCATTTTGTCCGGTTATCGTTGTTGTAAAACCTAGCGGAAAGTAAACAGTTTGTGAACTTAAGTCATTTTATTTCCAACTAGTTATACCAATCTATTTAAACAAACCGAATATGTTAATCTACGGGTCACTGTTCTAAAGTATGCCGGTAATCAAATAACAAATTCCTCATTGTCATCTACATCTTGTATCTGAGCTTTGCCTAAAGAATAAAAGCCAATAAAATCAAAAAAGGAATTGTTTGTTGTAGTTCATATTACGAGTGCATTTCACTTTATGAAAGATACGTTCAAACGGTGGCATTTGTTGCTATGTCTATTTGTGTGTGGTGTTCCAGTGATCATTGAAGTTCTAGGTTACATTCAGGTTTATAATGGTCTTTTTGGTTGCCACAACACTGAGGTAAAAATAAAACGAACTTGCCACATTATGTACCGATTAAAAAAGTCAGTCATTATTATATTATATGTTTTTAACTTAGTCGGGAATATATCAAATGATAATAACCGCTTTTAAGTCTTTCGAAGGTCTCCACAAAACACCATAGTAAATCTTAATAGATAACTAAAGTGTTATGTTAATAATAATAAATGAATAGAAAATTGTATTTCTGACGTTATTAATTGTTTTAAATGCTTTTGTTTATTTTTATTGATCCAATTGCGCTTGCCTATCCAGGTTATTTGGATTCCATCACATGATTAACGCTTCAACTTTCAATCAATATGTGTTTGTTCACCCGTACATTCAGTTGTCTCGATGTTATTTATGCATATCCAGAATTACTCTCAGAATGTCTTATCTTGCGAGTATAGTTTTGTGTTTTCTACTTTGTCATCGTCTCTCCACTGCCTTAGACCTCTAGGTCAAAGGCTCGGGGAGTGACCCTCTAAGAAAACCACCTGCTTCGGTTTGTGCACAAAGGCAGTATTCCAGCCCTCACAAAAATCGAATGACGAAGTGTGGTGCATACATATTTGGTGCATTCTTGTACCAATGTTTATGTGTTTAGACAAATAAATATAAAACCTGACTCATTAATTTTGAACTAAGTGTACCACTCACAATTTTTTAGTTTGCATTTTTATAATTTCTCACTTTTTCATATGATGAAAGTTCACTTTGTTTTTCAATAGAAATTTTGAAATCATTCAATCTTCATTTTTCCTCATCCTGTAGAAATATTCTAGGCTAACTGGCTGACCTAAACTTAGATACTTAACTTAATCTCTTTATGAAAGTCATCAGCTTTGTATAATTAATTTCTAACAACTATACTACTAGGAAATACTAATTATAACATACCCCTATCTACACAGCTTCATGTATTACCATTTAAATATATTCGTATGCTAAACCACACCAACATGATTGGATAATAGTTTAGTATGTAACTGTTTTTGATCCTACTTATTTTTGATTATTTCCCTGAAAAAGTTGGTAACAGACCTCCAGATAATGTGATGTTAGTTATGTGGCTTCAGTTATTGAGATTTATACAAATATGGTTTTTTATTTCATATTCTTGATTAATGTTTAATGCTTTTAAAAATTGTGTGTTAATCATTTTTCATTTATTCACTTTATGTCCAACAAACTCTCATGTGCAAATATTCATATTTTGTCTTGAAGCTCCGTAGTTGTGAGCAAATGTACTGACTACCGGTGTCAAAATTTACTTAATTATTCAGTAAATTAATTATAGAAAGTCATCAAGAAAATAAGTAAGAAATATGTACAGAATTTTCTAAATGACAGAGGAAGTAATTCTTGATTATATTCTTTATGTTCCAATATACATGATTTGTAATCTATCACTGCCACTAATATTAATACCACCCTCCACAAAACTAAATTAATAATAATCACTTCCTTAAAAACTTGTTCACTTATGCTTCTAGCATAACACACTCCTATGGTGTATGTATCTAACACTTATGTTAAATTTAATGGCACTGACCATATTGATAAATATAGGTTATTTATTATTATTGTATTTTTTAACGCCCCAAACATTTTCGAATGTATCTTAAGTCATACTGTAGTGATCAACAACTTGGTGGAGAAGTCCGATTTGTCATTTAATGCCAAATTACAGCGCTTTCGTAAAATATGAAAATCATACATTAAATGCATTATTTGCACATCTTCCATCAGCTTCATGATTCTTTAGATTTGGTTGTTATTCCAATTCCCTTTCTATTCTCTTGAATTCACTCCTCTCTGCTGGCATTCATTCCACTTACGACTGATGCTACATATTACTTATATCTACCAACTTAAGTAGCATACACCACAATGTCACTGACGCCGAAGCATGTTTATGAATGCAGGTAGACTAGACGCCTTATGAATTTACCTAGTGGGAATAACTTTTTAATTTCCTTGTGCGTCCTTTTTGAAAATAAGTTTGAGAGAAAGTTCAGAGGGGTGAGACTACAGAATAATTAACATTGAAAGTGTAACTTTGGCATATAAAATATGATATAACATTCATATCTATACGATGACGGAGTTAAACAAAGAAAGGGTAAACGTTTAATAGAGGTCACAAAACTCAAAAATGTCACCTCATTTGTAAAAGGTTTGCCAAATTTCTCACGTATCTCTATATCCTTTTGTAAAATCTCTTTAAATAAAGTCGACCGAAATTTAACTATACTAATCAGCCCAAGTATCTCATGTACTCTGAATCTTTTGGTATAGAAATATATGAAAAGATGTCAGTTCTGTATTATTACGGACTGTGACTTTCATCAGAACTACATTTATCTTTTTTTTTAAATAAAATAATTTCCAGTATTCTTTGATATGGTAAAATTTCAATGCACACAAAATCTTATCTATGATCATTTAATCGCCTTTATTTCCATTTCCTTCTGTCTTTCGTTTTTCTCTCAGTATTGCTTTCTTGTTAGTGTACTCTTTTTCTCTCTAGTCTCCTTCCACTGTGTTAATGTGGGATGTGTTCACCTTAATCATAGTATAATTAAACCATGCCCTGCTTGAATTCAGAATACGGTCAATAAGTCATACATGGTTATTTTATATAACAATTGTCATTGTGGCTTTTCAAAATTTCATGTCATACTTTTTATACCGCCGGGAGACGCAATGTTCTTTGACTTATAATAATTACTATCATTATTGTATAAAAGTTTTGGTATATGTTTTTTTGTTGTTGAGCTTCCATTGTGCCCATAATCACAACTTTTATTGTTATTATTACTGTGTCATAGAGACCTTAAAACTTGCTTAATCCTGCATCTGCCTTCTCATTTTCGTCATCATATAACCTAGACAGGAAATCTTCAGTTGAAAAATGACTGTTTAAAAATTTCATAGTGTTTTCGCTAGTTTTGGTAGTTATTTTAGATAACGACTAGTTCATATTGTTTATAATAACTGGAAATATATTTTATTTTCCCATGGCTTTTCACATCATCCTGACAATTATAGCTCCTTAAAATATACATAATTTTTGTCCAAAACAATATTCTCCACACTTTTTCATATCGTTTTCTTTTCTGTAAAAATACTTTACAATTCCTCTACTTTTGTCTTCTTAGACTTTTGACAAACAGTGTTCTGCCTGACTCATCTCTATGTCAACCCGGTTTACAATCATTTATTTCTACTAATGGATCAAATCCGAATGATGCAATTTATATAGGGCATTCACAAAATGTATCGATCATGAATGGTACGATCGGGCATGATAATAACACAGCTCCTCCGCTAGTCCAAACATTTATATCTTCCGTACAGCAATCACAGCAACAACAGGGTCGTTCAAATAATCCCGGGCTAATTGACTCTACTAGAAGTATTGAACCAACGTATTCCACTACAAATGATGCTTTACGTGCCAAATCAAAGTCTCATTCAGATTCAGTGGTTGTTGTTGAAAGAAAATCTAAACGCCATTGTCCATGGTATTACTGGATTATTAGTATATTGATATTAGCCTTCCTTCTCGCACTTGTACTGGCTGTATCCTTTTCAGGTAAGAATGATATATATAATGCAGGCAGTCATTCTACTAAAACTTTTTAGTGTATGATATATATAGTGACAATCTATGTAACAACTTACATGAAAAGTCTCAATCAAAAACCTACAGCTAACTTGTTTTCTACTTTCATGGACGATTTTTCACCTCTATAACGTCATGCAGATTGCACTACTGTAAAACATACACGCCCTTTGGTTGAAAGACGAGTATTTCATCTACTCCACAAGTAACACGAGTTAGCAAAAGCCAATTATGCTATATTATATCGTGATGAGATTTCTCAGATAAGTGAAACGGTTAACGTACTGATCTATTTCACTCCCTATCATTAGTTTAGGTGTTGATGCAGACCAGTTCTGAAATGGCATTTAGAAGTATAGTTTAACTACTGAGTTTCAGTAAGTAATTGTGAACTGGATTTGATTTTTTGGGTAACTTTTTAATAAACTATTTCTCGTAATCATAAGACGAAACATGTCTCTCTTGTTCGTATCCCCCCACTTATGCGATTGAGATTTCTCACATCGATTGATTAACGAATAGGCATATGATTGGTAAGTAGTAGGGATATCACAATGGTCGGTTGAATCAAAGTTGCACTAAGGACTGGATAAACATGATATTCGTCACTACTGAGTGATCATTCGGTGTGATTATGTTATATTTGGTCATTTTGATCCAGTCGTGGATTCTACGCTTTAAATGATAACTTTGATTCAACTTAGATTAAGAAATATAAAACATTTCCCTCGAGAATTAATTCTCTTAATCTTTTGTATTAACAATTTAGAACATAGTTGAAAATCTTTGTTAATCTATTAAAATAGATTTCTGAATTTAACGACTGCATTGACTAAACCCCCGATAATGTAGATGACTCATTATTTCTATTTTTCACCAATCTATTCCTTTGTGCTGGTTGACCTTACTATTCCATATGACCTTGTGTATAATGTTAACCTGTTTGTCAGGTCAAAAAGTATTTTGTTTTATATTCTAAAGAATCTGTTAACCAGCATCTTAGGCATATTTCATATTGACATCTGTCAATATGAAATACTGTATTGTTTTCTCTTAATTGAATCATTCTTAATGGAGGTCAATTGTGACTTGGATAACTTAACAATAACACCTGGACCATGACGTTGAGATACAATATAGTGTTTACAAAGGGGAAATGGCAAAATTTACCGGTAGTATGAAATTCTATTTCAAAATCGTCGCAATTTATATACTAACTAGTCATTTGAGCCATCTATTTCAAGACAACAAGTATAGTAGTATTTCAGAAAAAATTTGAAGAACATCTCAAATGTTCACTTATATCCTGACTGAGGATCTAATTTATTCATTCTTCAGCTCACCTGACCATTCCTAATTTGTGATTTCCATTACTCAGTCAGTCAGTATGCTACAACGTAGGACCAGGCACATATATGCATCGGTCCAAGTTGACTTACCTCATTAACACAACAAGATGGACACCGGATTCATGAAAGTAGTTAATTCAGAGGTGGTAATATATAAAAGAAAGATTGCAATAAGGAAATAGTACAGGAAGAAAGAATTAGTTCGTAGAAAGAAAGATATGAAGCGATTTAAATCTCTTAGTTTAAGGGAAGACAGAGAGTGTATACACCGACGCCATTGTGATCGATTCTGAGCCATATCACCAAGAGTCTCCAACCATTGGTTACGATAGTCACGCAGACACCAACCAAGTAGTCTGCATCTACCAACATGGCTCAGACTAAAAGTTAGTGACTTCAAGCACTGATGCCACGTTTTGGTTTGGCCGCCCCTAACTTTCTTCCAAACATCTCTAACACCGATTAGCATTGCGCGTCGTGGTAATCGATGTTCGGGCATACGTAGCACGTGGGCCCAACCATCTCAGTCGATGAAGATTCACAACCTCATCAACTGATTTACCATCATTCCCTAATACCCTGCGTCTAACCTCACTATTACGTACCTGGTGATCCTAGCAGACGCCAGCAATATTTCTAAGGCATCTATAGTCAAATACTAATAGCTTACGAGTGTCTTCTACTCTTAATGGCCACGTTTCGCAGCCGTAAATTAAAACAGAACGGACTGCCGTGCAGTATACTCGTCCTTTTATTGATAGACGGATAACTCGCCTTCGCCATAGATGACGTAAGCCATACAAGCTTTTCGAATTCGTGCTGAGATTTCTTCAGACACCAACCCATTAGGGCTGATCAGACTTCCAAGATAAGTGAAGTTGTCAACACGTTCGACTACTTCACTCTCTATCCTAAGTTCAGGTCCTGAAGCAACAACTTGCATTTAGAGGGAGAGAAGCACATTCCAAACATTCTGGCATTGTTGCTTAGTGCTACCAAAAAACTCTGCATTTTATCAGCGACTTCAACAAACAGGACTACGTCATCTGCGTATTCTAAGTCGATAAGTGGACCTCCTGGAAGGAGATCAATACCTGAGTATTCAGTAGACGAGAACGACATTTCCATCAATAGGTCTATGATGAAGTTAAACAGAAATGGAGAAAGTGGACAGCCTTGATGGACACCACTTGAGGTAGCAAAAGCAGATGACAGTTTGCCATAAGCTCTGACTCGACCTATAGTGTTCGAGTAGAGAGCCTTCACAAGGTTTATGTACTTCTGAGGTACGCCTTTCAATGACAGACACTGCCACAGAATCTCGCGGTCTACCGAGTCAAATGCTGTTTTTAAGTCAAGAATGACCACCAATGTCGGACGTCGATAAGTATGCCTATGTTTTAGAACCTGACGAATGGTGAATATGTGGTCGATGCAGCCACGACCAGGTCTGAAGCCAGCTTGATTCTCTCGTGTTTGCAGTTCACGAGTTTTAGTTAAGCGCCTGATAACTATCGACGCTAGTATTTTAGATATTATATTAGTTAAACTAATCCCTCACGGTCGTTCCTTAGACTTTTGGTTAACCTGGATCTGATTTGTTGTAGCTCTTTATCGTCTTGAGAGCATAATGGGATGAGTTTACGAAAACCTATCAGTGAAATAGACTTAGATGAAATCCACTGGTTTTTCGTGACCCATAGGTTCGAATCAATAATAGATGTCGCTGTTGTTTCCACAACTGTTTGTATACCTTTACAACCAACATTTGGGTCAGCCTCGGTTTCAGAACTACCTAAGTGTGACCTCAGTTGTTCCTGGGACCTACTTTTGGATTTCTCGCTACTCAATTCAGTTCTAATGGGTCTTTTTACTGAGGCTTTTTTGCGTCCAGTGAGGCGCAAGCAGATGCGTGCCCGTATTAGGGCATGATCGGAGTCCAAGCAGGTACTCCAGAATGAGCAACAATCTTCTACCGACCCTCTCCAACGATGACTGATGGCAATATGATCTATTTGAGTCCATCGTTGGTTTGGTGTAGGGGGTCGCCATGTTAGACGATGTCTCTCCTTATGCTTAAAATTTGTGTTTGCTAAAAATAAACGATTGTCTGAGCACAGTTGCAACAGAAGATCACCATTATCTGTTCGTTGAGCCGGAATACTGAAATACTCACCTAAATGCCTTTCTGTTTGAGTTAAGCTACCTATCTGGGCATTAAAGTCACCTGCTACGAGTAATATATCTGGACGTTTAGCTTTCTGAAGAAGTTCAGATAGCTTTCTGTAAAAGTCATTTCTCACTTCCTCTGAGCTGCAGTCGGTGGGAGCGTAGGCAGAAACGACAAAAAGGCAACGACGTGTGTCCCTATCCTTCCGAGTTCTAACGGAGCCGTTTAGCCGAACAGCACATAAACGACTGTTAACGGGGATCCACTCTAACAGAGCTTGTTCCGTCCTCATGCTTAGTGCTATGACTACATCTGCCAGTCCACGAGAACTAGCCATCGAGTCGCCAGATACACGGAGGGTGTATCTCGTCTGCTCTCCATTTCGGCGAGGCGAGGTCAAGTGAATGACCACACTAGGATCCTGTATGCGAGTTTCAGAGACACAGCATACATCAATGGTACGAGATCCTAGGGTTCTAGCCAAGGAAGCCTGCTAGCCTATTTGACATAGGGTACATACGTTGAACGCTCCAATGTATAGTTTGGAGCGAGATTTCAGTAGACCTAGGATAGTGTTTTGCGCACTAGAATCGTTAGTTATAGTGACACTCGAGGAGGGAGCCGAAAGAGGAAGTTTAGAGTTGAAAGTTGACGTAGAAGGAATAATAATAATAATAATAATAATTCAAGAGGGAAATTGACTATGAATACAGTGATCTTGAGTGCTGTTAGAGGTATGAGGGTGGTTATCACTTCCCGGTTTCCCACACGACAGAAGGGTTCTTCTGGAGGTACCTAGAAACAAAATTGAAGTAGAGGTGGTCTTAGTGATCTGAGAGCGTGACCGCAGTGCCCAAGGGACATCTACTTGAGGTCGGTCACACACGACCCTTTTGTGATTAATTTTTGTGTTAGCTCCGTACTCATTGGAACCTTACCGCCGGAGACGGATATCCGTGGGATAAGGTGAGGTATGCATTTTTTAGGGTCGACCTTTTCTAACCCCATCCCTCCTTGTGGGAAGGCAGCATCGCTGTTATGCTGGTTATCTGAAGGAGACATTTTACTGCAGTCACACCTCTGTGCAGTCAGCGGTACGACTTCGCCTTCGGACCTTGGGTTTGTTGCTTTTAGTCTTACCGCTCTTCAACCGACCTATCTGACACTCTAGGATCTTGAGGAACTGTTGTTCCAGCCAGTATAGCTTGGTTGCTTCATCACGATAGGCAAGCCCGACCACCTCGTCAAGGTAGCAACGACGGTCGGGATTTCCATTACTGAGAAACTTTAGTTTAACAACTTTGTACTTCTTTTCTTATGCTGTAAAATTCGTAGATAAATATTTATTTAATCTTTTTTTCTTTAAAAATTACATTTTTCCAGAGGAGAAGAAACGTTTAGACCATCGGTTACAAGAACGATTCGCTCAAGATCCTGCGATTATAGGTAATGAGTTTTGATACGATATTGTTAATATTTTAGACTAGCAAATTATTTGGCAGTTTTTGGTCATTATATAGTAGTGTTTTATGATGAAGAACATTAATTGTTTAGACAGGAACTTACAGAGTTTTAAGCTATTCACTTTAGATAGTTTAATTGATAGCCTAAATTTGACTCTCAACATTAATTTTGATAAGCAATGAGCTTAGAGATTTTTTCATCAACTATGCAAACCAGTTGAGTACGACCGTTATTGTGATTGTGTGACAGTATTCACAATAATGCATATCCGAATAACTATTTTAATGACTTATTCTCCTCTATTTCCATGTGCCTCATGATCACAGATCGATCTCAACTTTATTTCTTTAGCATTCTTTTTTGTTTACGGTTGATAACAGTTTGCAATTTTATCAAGGATGTTCATTTCATCCTTTTCAGTACTCAGCATTTTAATGGGCTTGCCTTTCAATACATATTCTCGTTGAAACCTGCTTGCAATATATATATCGTCAGACACCATAGGATTATTAATAGAACCATCGATATACAGTAGTCACATCATGTTCGATGGATATCACTTGTTATTTAATCTCATTACATTTATAAATGTTCGACTTGTCGATTCAATGAACTCAAATACTAAAAAGTACTGACGAATTCATTTCTTCAATCATTAACAAAGAGATTTCCATTTTTACTTGTTATCTGAATCAGTGCTGATGAGGCATGTTGTTGTTCATCGATATTTACTCTAAACTTATCTTTATGTACTTGTTTATGTACCTACTGATTAACTTTGAAGTCATCTGTAGAGTGACTCATTATGGTTATATAGTTCCGTAATCCCCGTCTAATAAATTTAATATCCATTCATGACATTGTATTACCAGTGTACACTAATCAATCGCGTCAGGTTCAATGTAATAATACAGGAATCACGCTTTTATCAAGTTTAATACTGTAAAAACTGTTAAATTGACTTTATGTAGACTGATAAAGATGCTGTTTATTTTCCCACTTTTATTCTTATCTCTCCCTTTCTCTTTTAGTCGATAATCTAACTTTTTGACATGTGTGTCGTGTATCTATGGTATTGTTGTTATTATTACAACTTACTTTCAGTACATGTGTTTTACTAACTTCTTGCTCATTAATTTGTCATGTTTTTGCATGGATATTGAAATGGCTGAAGGAAAAACAAAATGTGTAAATTTAATGAGTCATTCATGAATGGAGTTTCATTACCTTTTAGATAAAGCTTACTATTAGTTTTACAAAAATAAATGTGTTAAATATTGTGCTTCGTAGTTTATAAATTTACTTCAGAATTAGATGAGAGCTGTCAAGTTATGAATGTTAAAGTACTTTGTTTTAATGTTTATAAATGGCTGATATTACAGTGTTTATAGAATGTTAATCAGCTTCAAGATCATGTTCCAGATGCTTATCGTAATTTATTGATTGATCCACTGTACTGACTCGAGTTCACAGTGTAGTTTGTTTTTACTTGATATGGGGATTAAAGGAAACACGTCAGCAACATCAATAAAACTGACGTTTTTTCAGAAATTCGAATCCCCATTCAGTTTCCTTCAAACTATTCGAGTTGCGGCGTCATCATTTTCAATTGGATTTTACATACGAATAAATTGCTAGAAGGTAAATAATTTTGTTATGTGATGATGTGTCGCTAAAGCATTCGGATTTTAATCAATATGCCGAGTTTGAACCCTTCATTTTGGGGAAGCAGGCATTACTATGCTTCACACAAGTATCGTACCTCAATCTCTCCTATATAAATATATCACATTAATCAGCTGACTAATATCGTACACAGGAATTCGAATATAAAAGTTAAGTAATTTTACTCGTCAAAAAAAGAGCCATTTAAGTGTTAAGTAAAATTCAGTTCTGCATTCGGTAATATAGGCTTCTCTTACGATTGACTTTTGGTGTTTTTGTTACACTCTGATATGAAAAGAGGGATTCAGCAATTCAGTGTTATCAGATTCAATAGCTTTATCATGCAAATGATGTAATTTTTGTGCAGGTATTTCGTACTGCATTACAAATGTGCAAATTTTCTTAATAATTAATTTTTACCTGTAATAAATGTATACTTTATAATATTTATTACGTACGCTCTCCATCGATAGTCTACTCGAGAAATATTGACCGTATTGTTTTATTGGCAGTAAAAATTAACAATCTTCGGTTGTTTAGATCACATTTATCGGTACTATTCTAATTCAAGTTGTTCAGAGGAGTTAATATAATTGTATGATACAGCCGATAAATCTGCGTTTTTGAGGTGCACACATCCACATTACAAATGTTAGTATAGGTAAACAATAAACATATACAATCGAATATTTGTCACGCAGAATGTTGAATTGTTTTTGGATCTACTAAGCAGTTGACTGAAAGAAACCAATATTGTTTTATTGAGTGATAACAGATGTTTGTTGAAGAAGTTCATTTCTAAGGATTGCTACTGATCGTCTGCTGATCATTTTATTTCATAGACGTGTTTTATGGAATTTGATGAGCACCAGATTGAATGAAAACTGATTTTATTCCATGAGTGTAATCAATTCAGTTTTCCAGAACATCGACTAACATTCAAGTTTATCTCTGGTAAATCTAGTTGTTGCAAAATGCAAATTCAGAGTCCTGAAACAATATTTCTTTAGGGTCACAGATGTGCCTTAACATTCAATTCTTTGATTAACTGCATATGTACTATAAAGTTAGGAACCTTGTAAAAAACTTTTATCGTTTATGTGGTTGGATTCAGTTCGATCACTAGGTGAAAATTCATCGGTGGTATTCTTATTCCATTGAACCGAGTTACTGATTGTAAAGCAGATTGTATGGGATTAGAAACATATATTGCTTTTTTTTAGAGCAAGATATAGTTGACATTAAAGGTGTAAGTTGTTTCGTTTTTTAAATATTTAGCATCTATCATAGTTGTAATTTTTGTCTAATTACCGTAATATTGGTAATTTCCATTGCTTAATTGTAAGGAAAAATTTTTCTGAGATTTATGAAAATCCACTCCTTTTTTATTCCGAATCTTTTTCTCAATTTTCTCTTTTTCTTTTCACTTTCCTTCAGTTCTTTTCTTAAAGGCTTTTTAGCACCTTTTCTTGCTAGAATTGTGATGATACGCTCTTCAACATACATCGAATTCTACATTTACAATATAAACGCCATCATATTCATTTATTGCAAACGAATATATATATATATATATATATATATATATATATATATATATATATATATATATATATATATATATATATATATATATATATATATATATATATATATATATATCTATTGAATGATACTCGTGTTTATCATCGGAACTTACTAGTTATATTTAAATTATTCGAAAAATTCGACTGCTTTAAACTTGTCTAATGTAAGATATTTCGAGACAAACAGCAAAAGATTCTAAATGAAGGTTTGTGTGTTTGTCAGTCTTCAGTTACTGTGAAACATAACGCAAGTTGCTTGGCTAATTATGACTTTTTCAGCATTAGATCGACTGTAGATCAATAAAGGAGAATTAATAACAAACGAATGAACTGCCGGCATTCTTCTGCACAACGTTAAAGCGTTGATAGCGATATAAGGACGATTATATATTTATTATCTGCTTGAAAATCCAGTATTTATTTTTCTAAACATACTGTCAGAGGTGCATATAGATGCATTACAATAATCTTGAAATAAACAAGCTATAAAATATTTGTTCCAATATCTTGATGCGTGGTATAAGATTTATTCATTCATTTATAAAAATGGCATCCTGAAAAGTCAATTTTTATGTCACAGAAACTCGATGCAACACGCATAAGTATTTTCGTGTATACAGTATGTATAACTGGATGTTTGGTGTATAAAGCTATGGCTTATTGGTTTAAGTACTTAACTTTCAACCAACTAGCCACTAGATTAGAACAGTGTTTCACTCGACAAAGCTACGTCAACATAATACAACCATTAATCCTAAAACAAATCTCGGCTTGTTGCTTTGCTTATTTTTTTCTCTTTTGGGTTCTTTATAATAGCTATTTTACATAGAATTTTATAAATGATTTATTTTGCTCCAATAGAATAAAATTTGATAAATTAGTTGGCTAATTGTTTGTCGTAAATATGTGAGTTAACGTCGTATTATAAGGGTTTTGTTGTTTTCATATTTAATGATATTTGTTTATTTGTAAATCACGTTATTCATCTGTTATTTTTGTTTTTTTCTTTGCCTTTCTTCATCCCTTGCAGGTCTTTTTGATCCTAACTCACCTCCATATATTTTAGAAGCAAATAAGCCTGTAAATATTGTTCTAGAGCCAATGAAGTCATGGTCAGGTCAATGGCATATGCCCACAGCGCGTTATATACGCTATAATATTACAGTATCTTCGTTAGCCTCATCAATTGGTGTATTTATGCGTCACAACACAATGCCAACCATCATACATTATGATATATTCGATAGAATAACTGGGCATAATTTGTTAGCAAATTCTGGTCGACAAGAATTAGGCAGTCGTACAAAACGTGCCACTCAATCAACTAATCGGAATTCAAAGTCTTTAATTCATATAGGTTCTAAAGTGAGTTTAGCCGTTCTTTTTTATTATTACACGTTTTCTAGATATTGAGGTGATTTTCTTTTTGTTATCAAAAAATAACTTTGGGAACTTTTATATGAATGAACAAACATTAGTTGGACAATCGCAGAATAATTGGCAATCTGAAAGCTTTTTATGCGTTTGTTGTACTGTTTCCCTATTCTCAGGTTAATCAAGGATTGAACGAAGAATAATGAGTATACTTTAAAAATACTTTGAATTTAGGTGATTGATTTTTTGAGGATCTTTGATCATAAAAACAAATACTTCACATGTTCACCTGATTAGTTGAGCAAGTTCCATTTTTCATTAAGATTTTAAGAAATTTATGGTTGTACGAAACCCACAAAGTTTCCCTATGCATATTTTAAAATTTACTTAAAGTTGTGGCTAGCTATCAATTCTGTGAAAATTCTTCCTGATTGAAACTCTCCATCTTTGTGCAACCCTAATAAGTTGGCATCGACTTTAATAATCCAATTTTATTTACCAAATTGGTTTTGTGGAAATGGCATACAATTTGAATATGATTTTCATCATAAACTAACGTCGAATCTATATCCACACAATAAATTCAGTAAATAGTAACCATATAGTCAATAGTGAATAGTTTGAAGACTGGCTTCTTAAAGTTCCGACCGTGATCTATGAAGTCATTCAAACAGATGGTTTAGTGAGGTAGCAACTCGTGTGTCAAATATGAAGGGTGGGGTCACGAATTGACTGAATTTAAAAATGTAAGCCAGTTCAGTGGCTGTCAATGGCATTATGGTTGCTGCCTGACCTGAAAGTTTCAGGTTAACACATTTGATCAGATTTTAACTATGGTTACATGCCTGTTTATTGTTCTTTAGTTTCCAAAGGTTCTGCAAGTGACATCGATGATTGATCAATTTTTGTACGTGCAATAAATGTTTCATATGACTAACTTTAGTTTTATGATATTATGAAACGTTATATTTTATTCTTTAAGTTATTGTGGATTGATTTTTAAGATTAATTCTGCAATTGACTCGAAATTTCTATCCAGTCGACCATTCAAGAGCGGTAAGACTAAAAGCAACAAACGCAAGGTCCGAAGGCGAAGTCGTACTGCTGACTGCACAGAGGTGTGACTGCAGTAAAATGTCTCCTTCAGATAACCAGCATAACAGCGATGCTGCCTTCCCACAAGGAGGGATGGGGTTAGAAAAGGTCGACCCTAAAAATGCATACCTCACCTTATCCCACGGATATCCGTCTCCGGCGGTAAGGTTCCAATGAGTACGGAGCTAACACAAAAATTAATCACAAAAGGGTCGTGTGTGACCGACCTCAAGTAGATGTCCCTTGGGCACTGCGGTCACGCTCTCAGATCACTAAGACCACCTCTACTTCAATTTTGTTTCTAGGTACCTCCAGAAGAACCCTTCTGTCGTGTGGGAAACCGGGAAGTGATAACCACCCTCATACCTCTAACAGCACTCAAGATCACTGTATTCATAGTCAATTTCCCTCTTGAATTATTATTATTATTATTATTATCGAACATGATGTGACTACTGTATATCGATGGTTCTATTAATAATCCTATGGTGTCTGACGATATATATATTGCAAGCAGGTTTCAACGAGAATATGTATTGAAAGGCAAGCCCATTAAAATGCTGAGTACTGAAAAGGATGAAATGAACATCCTTGATAAAATTGCAAACTGTTATCAACCGTAAACAAAAAAGAATGCTAAAGAAATAAAGTTGAGATCGATCTGTGATCATGAGGCACATGGAAATAGAGGAGAATAAGTCATTAAAATAGTTATTCGGATATGCATTATTGTGAATACTGTCACACAATCACAATAACGGTCGTACTCAACTGGTTTGCATAGTTGATGAAAAAATCTCTAAGCTCATTGCTTATCAAAATTAATGTTGAGAGTCAAATTTAGGCTATCAATTAAACTATCTAAAGTGAATAGCTTAAAACTCTGTAAGTTCCTGTCTAAACAATTAATGTTCTTCATCATAAAACACTACTATATAATGACCAAAAACTGCCAAATAATTTGCTAGTCTAAAATATTAACAATATCGTATCAAAACTCATTACCTATAATCGCAGGATCTTGAGCGAATCGTTCTTGTAACCGATGGTCTAAACGTTTCTTCTCCTCTGGAAAAATGTAATTTTTAAAGAAAAAAAGATTAAATAAATATTTATCTACGAATTTTACAGCATAAGAAAAGAAGTACAAAGTTGTTAAACTAAAGTTTCTCAGTAATGGAAATCCCGACCGTCGTTGCTACCTTGACGAGGTGGTCGGGCTTGCCTATCGTGATGAAGCAACCAAGCTATACTGGCTGGAACAACAGTTCCTCAAGATCCTAGAGTGTCAGATAGGTCGGTTGAAGAGCGGTAAGACTAAAAGCAACAAACCCAAGGTCCGAAGGCGAAGTCGTACCGCTGACTGCACAGAGGTGTGACTGCAGTAAAATGTCTCCTTCAGATAACCAGCATAACAGCGATGCTGCCTTCCCACAAGGAGGGATGGGGTTAGAAAAGGTCGACCCTAAAAATGCATACCTCACCTTATCCCACGGATATCCGTCTCCGGCGGTAAGGTTCCAATGAGTACGGAGCTAACACAAAAATTAATCACAAAAGGGTCGTGTGTGACCGACCTCAAGTAGATGTCCCTTGGGCACTGCGGTCACGCTCTCAGATCACTAAGACCACCTCTACTTCAATTTTGTTTCTAGGTACCTCCAGAAGAACCCTTCTGTCGTGTGGGAAACCGGGAAGTGATAACCACCCTCATACCTCTAACAGCACTCAAGATCACTGTATTCATAGTCAATTTCCCTCTTGAATTATTATTATTATTATTCCTTCTACGTCAACTTTCAACTCTAAACTTCCTCTTTCGGCTCCCTCCTCGAGTGTCACTATAACTAACGATTCTAGTGCGCAAAACACTATCCTAGGTCTACTGAAATCTCGCTCCAAACTATACATTGGAGCGTTCAACGTATGTACCCTATGTCAAATAGGCTAGCAGGCTTCCTTGGCTAGAACCCTAGGATCTCGTACCATTGATGTATGCTGTGTCTCTGAAACTCGCATACAGGATCCTAGTGTGGTCATTCACTTGACCTCGCCTCGCCGAAATGGAGAGCAGACGAGATACACCCTCCGTGTATCTGGCGACTCGATGGCTAGTTCTCGTGGACTGGCAGATGTAGTCATAGCACTAAGCATGAGGACGGAACAAGCTCTGTTAGAGTGGATCCCCGTTAACAGTCGTTTATGTGCTGTTCGGCTAAACGGCTCCGTTAGAACTCGGAAGGATAGGGACACACGTCGTTGCCTTTTTGTCGTTTCTGCCTACGCTCCCACCGACTGCAGCTCAGAGGAAGTGAGAAATGACTTTTACAGAAAGCTATCTGAACTTCTTCAGAAAGCTAAACGTCCAGATATATTACTCGTAGCAGGTGACTTTAATGCCCAGATAGGTAGCTTAACTCAAACAGAAAGGCATTTAGGTGAGTATTTCAGTATTCCGGCTCAACGAACAGATAATGGTGATCTTCTGTTGCAACTGTGCTCAGACAATCGTTTATTTTTAGCAAACACAAATTTTAAGCATAAGGAGAGACATCGTCTAACATGGCGACCCCCTACACCAAACCAACGATGGACTCAAATAGATCATATTGCCATCAGTCATCGTTGGAGAGGGTCGGTAGAAGATTGTTGCTCATTCTGGAGTACCTGCTTGGACTCCGATCATGCCCTAATACGGGCACGCATCTGCTTGCGCCTCACTGGACGCAAAAAAGCCTCAGTAAAAAGACCCATTAGAACTGAATTGAGTAGCGAGAAATCCAAAAGTAGGTCCCAGGAACAACTGAGGTCACACTTAGGTAGTTCTGAAACCGAGGCTGACCCAAATGTTGGTTGTAAAGGTATACAAACAGTTGTGGAAACAACAGCGACATCTATTATTGATTCGAACCTATGGGTCACGAAAAACCAGTGGATTTCTTCTAAGTCTATTTCACTGATAGGTTTTCGTAAACTCATCCCATTAGGCTCTCAAGACGATAAAGAGCGACAACAAATCAGATCCAGGTTAACCAAAAGTCTAAGGAACGACCGTGAGCAGTGGTGGGCAACGAAAGCAAAAGAGATGAAGAAGGCGGAGGCTATAGGTAACACAAGATAGCTCTACAGACTAATAAAAGAAACTGGAATTAGTAAGTTAAATGTAAGTGAGACTATCTCGGAAAAAGCCGACACTCTTATCTGCTCCTAGTCCAGATGTTTAGAACGATGGGCGGAACATTTTAGAGAACAGTTCAGCTGGCCTTCAACTACTCTACAACTATCCTCCATTCCCAGACAGTGTGAATGGAACATTGAAGTAGGTCCCCCAACTCTAGCAGAAGTTCAAAAGGCTATAGTTAATCTAAAACGAGGAAGGGCAGCTGGTCCAGATGGATTGGCTCCAGAGGTCTTTAAGGATGGTGGTCCAATTTTAGCGATTAGGTTGACTAATATTTTACCTAAGATCTGGGAGTTAGACGTTGTTCCATCTGACTGGTCACAATCACTTATCGTCCCAATATATAAGAGAGGGTTAAAATCATCCTGTGACAACCATAGAGGGATTAGTTTAACTAATATAATATCTAAAATACTAGCCTCGATAGTTATCAGACGCTTAACTAAAACTCGTGAACTGCAAACACGAGAGAATCAAGCTGGCTTCAGACCTGGTCGTGGCTGCATCGACCACATATTCACCATTCGTCAGGTTCTAAAACATAGGCATACTTATCGACGTCCGACAATGGTGGTCATTCTTGACTTAAAAACAGCATTTGACTCGGTAGACCGCGAGATTCTGTGGCAGTGTCTGTCATTGAAAGGCGTACCTCAGAAGTACATAAACCTTGTGAAGGCTCTCTACTCGAACACTATAGGTCGAGTCAGAGCTTATGGTGAACTGTCATCTGCTTTTGCTACCTCAAGTGGTGTCCGTCAAAGCTGTCCACTTTCTCCATTTCTGTTTAACTTCATCATAGACCTATTGATGGAAATGTCGTTCTCGTCTACTGAATACTCGGGTATTGACAAACAAACTAATTTTGGTGGTGACATATTTTGAATGTATTTCTTCTGTTCTATTTACCTCTAATGGCGGCACCAGTTACACGCTTTTTAATCTTCTTTTTACATTTTTAAAATTTTGCACGTTTATTAACTAATCGACAAATATTGCTGTTATATGATTCCTAACGCACTATACAGTTGGAAAAACGAATAATTATGACTGAATAGAGTTTATCAATGTTTTTATTTTAAACTAGGCTCCATAACAATCAGTGTGTTTTTATAAACAAAATAAAAAGTAGATCATATATAACTGTTGATATTATGCTGTTTCTTCGTACCTTAATTTAGAATAAACTTGATTGTTTGCAATCACTTGAGGTACTTGCAAAAAATAAATGTTGTCTACTTTCAGGCTAGGTTAGATACTGATTTTTATCCTTTCCTCGTTGTTTAGCTTTGTCTCTAATTAGACTGTAAGATTTTCCAAAGGTATTGTAGAATCTTTCGACTCTGAAACGAAATCAGTTGACATTTATGTAATGTTATTCAGTTGACTGCCTAGAGTCTGACATTGATTTGTTTACGTCCAAATTTCTATGCGCTTTCACCAATACAAATCCATAAAATGGGAATAGATCGTAAAAAAATGGTAAAGTGAATATCATATCATAGCAAATATTTTATGTTGTGGAATCATACACGTGTGACTCGCCAAGCTTACGGCTAGTAGGTTTTTTTTTACAAAGAATAAACGTCGGTCAAACATTTTCCCCAACATAAACTTATTTCGATATTCGAAGAAACGTTCATTTAATCTTTCCGTGATAAAGTAGTTACTTGAAAAAAAGTGTTCGTTTTTCGATTACATTGACCTTAACTGACATATTTCAAAGAATAATTAAGTTACAGTCCCATTTTATTTAGTTATAAGCAAGATGTTAACTACAAATTCATTATTGAAAAAATTCCCTCTTCACTTTGTTTAATTGTGATTATGTAATTGTTCAGATAAATTTATTCCGAAAAAAAAGTTCATGAAATAAATTTTTTGCTATTCTTAATCTCTAGCTATCCTAGTGCTACTACCTCTCTCAAGCCCGGGTAAAGGAGGAGAGTTAGGCATGGAGTCAGCAACCCCATCCCGTAAAAAACAACCTTGCTAAAAAATAAGCTAACCAGACTATACAAATTAAATCAGTTAAACCCTGTCCTCCTAGTTGAAACAACAGTTAATATAGGTACATAGAATATTCGGACAATATAGGAGACTGGGATGACCAACCAAATAGCTACGAAAATAAGGAGATACACCTTGATGTTTCTCGGAATCAGAGAGATGTTGCTGCACTCTGGTGAAGAAGAAGAAGAAGAAAACGTTCCGCATACTCAGGGTGCTGCTCTGATGCTTTCCAAAGGTGCATGTAAAGCACTTATAGGACGGGAATCTCATGAATCCAGGATCATCAAAGCACCCTTCAACACAAAGGAAGGAATCACAATGAATGTTACACAATGTAATGCACCCACAAATAATTGCAACGACAATCATAAAGACAAGTTTTACTGGATGCTGCAATCGATCATACCGAAGTGCTCAGGAATAAACCTGACCATCCTGATGAGAGACCTAAACGCCAAAGTCGGAATGGGCAACACAGGGTATGAAGATATTAATGAACAACATGTACTAGGGAAAAGGAACGAAAATGGTAAGAGATTTGCAACTTTATGTGCATTCAAAAAGTGGTTATATGCTGCACGACATTCCCACGCAATCGCATACACAAAGCTACATAGGTCTCACCAAATCACACTACACAGAACCAGATCGATCATATTTGTATCCCTGAAAATTTCGGAAACGCAGTGGATGGTATGAGAACAAGTAAAGTAGCTGACATAGCTTCAGATCACCACTAGCTAGTTGTGGCCAAGATAAAACTGAGGCTAATGAAGCACTGGACAACTGGGGAAACAGCAGTACCAAGGTTTAATACAGCCTTTCTTCGAGATACTGACAAACCAACGAACTCAAGATAGCTCTCAACTACAGGTTTCAAGTCTTACAAGATCTACTCAAAGAAGAGGAAACTACTATGAAGGACAGAAAGAAAGGGATCAAAGAAACACTGACTTCGACGTGTCAGGAGGTGTTCGGTCACAACAAGCTTCATCATAAGGAACAGATCTCTATGGAAACCCTGAACAAAATTCAAGAAAGGAAGAACAAGAAGTCAACAATTAACAACAGCCAAACAAGAACAAAGGAAGTCGACGCACTGGCTGGATACACAGAATCAAACAAGAAAGTGAGGAAGAGTATTAGAGCTGACAAGCAGAAATATGTGGAAGACCTAGCAAGGACAGTGGATAAAGCTACAACAGAAAGAAATATGATACAACGAAATTTTGTGCGGAAAATAATGGTTATGACTATTATGATCTAACTGACCCAGTGTTGTAGTTTGTCTTTGTGTTATACTGTCATATCTTTTACGTTTTGTTAAAGGCATTTCATACAGTTATGCTACGAAACATCTTCACTAAATTACGACCGTGAAGAAATCACGGAATGAGTAAATGTTGTCAATTTCGTATTGTTTACCCAGTTTCAAGATGTACGTTCCAGATGCTGTTATGATGCAATATAACCAACAAGTAAAAATAAAAGAACAACATTTTACCTGTTGGGGTTTGAAGGCGTAAAAGATTTCCATGTGTATCACGATGTATACTTAATTTAATATTATGATCATCACCACGAATTTGTGAAAGCCAACCGCTTATTTCATTATTACGATAATCCAGTCTATGTGATATCATTTGAGTAGAAGGATCAGTATGCCTCAACATACACAAGGGAAAAAGCAAGATGCTCAAAAAGGACACGAAGAACACCAATCACACTTGATGGAGAACCTCTAGAAGAGGTTGAAACTCCCACGTGCCTGAACAGCATCATCGATGAACAGAGAGGATGCGATGCAGACATAAATACAAGTATTGGTAAAGCAAGGTAACCATTAACAACAACTTACTGTCGTAGAAGACAAACCAACTTCCATCTGAAGAGGAAATTAGGAAAAGACGCTGAAAGAGGATAGGGAACACACTAAGGAAATTATCAAAATGCATCACGAGGCAAGCTATAACTTGGAATCCTAAATGGAAATGGCGACGAACAAAGCCGAAGAACACACTGCGTCGAGAATTGGAAGCAGACATGATAAGGATGAATAGAAACTGGATCGAGAATGCTGATAGAAACCCTATGCTACTCTACGAGGGGCAACAGGTATAAGCAAGTAATCTTGAGATATAATTGTCTATTACTTCTTGGTTATTTCATTTTACAATTAGACTAAAAGATTGCTTCACCTGTGAAAGATTTTTGTGAATTCACTGTGCATACTTCTTATTTGGCCATTATGTAGCTTACCTATATAATGATTTAAAATACAACCTTGAACCGCTTTTTTTCCATTAAAAAAGTAGTATGAATGACAAAATAGTCTCCGATTATAGTGTTTCACTAGTTATCTTGAAATGAATTAATCAATTCACGGTTATAGAGGCTCAGTAAACGATAAAATCATTACCCTTTATTAATGTTATGAAAATCCAGCTAGGTGAAATTTATACATTCTCGGGATTCTTCATTTTCATGTTATATATTCATTCTTTATATTTCGCTGTTGAAGCATATTGGTTCCACTCGCATGGTACTCCTATTTACACGAGATTCTCGTTATTATTTGAGTCTACCTCGTATCTTTATTGCACTAAGAAATGAGATTTCTTTTGAACAAAATGTGTTTACAGGTTCCATGTATATGACTGATTAGAATGAACTTAGATATTAAATATTTTGAACTTATTTTCTCCATTTTACCTCCAATTTCGTAGGATGAATTACGTGAAACTGGGCGTTTGCATTATTTAGATGAAGGGATATGGTTTCTGGCTTTGGTTAACGATCAACCTCGACGTGAACCAATCAAATTCGCTATCGGTGATGCAGGTAATTATATCTAACTGATTTGTCTGTAAATGTATATCTAATTTGAAGTTTGCGATTATTTGAGCTATTTTTCTTTTACTGGGGTGTTTCTTACATTAGTTTTTCTACAATAAATTGCCTACTAATATGTGTATTTTACTCCATTACTTATCAATTTGAAAATATCTCTTGTCACTGATTGCCACCAGCTAATCACTTTAGCGAAACTAAGGAGCACTTTCCCGGTGTTTTGCTCTAATTTGGAATTTTTCAGAAATCTAAACATATATCAAATGGCTATCCGATTGCACTGGTTGCATTCATTTACATGCTGTCATTCAGCTTATTCCGTACTGTAGTTACTACTTTAAATCGATATAAATCTCATTCGTCAAATAACGCAAGTTTCGTATAGATTAGGTGATTTAAAAGTACCTAATAATAGGATTTTTCTTTATTTGTGTGCTTTCAATTTGAATCCGAGATGATGTTATGCAAGACTTGTCTATTGTACAACCTATACTGCTCATTGTTATACGCATACAACAGTCTACCAACTACGATTATCTTAAATAATCTGGTCATCACTTGGATAACTAAATCTACCTAATTTTAGCTGATATCTAACAATGTATTGTGGGGTCACCTTACAAACACAACACGAATATATTGTACTCATTGATGAGATCCTGTTCGAACTGTATTCAGCAGTTAAGTTTGTTAAATTAACTACGTGGTTTTGCTTTGAATCAGCAATTCATAGATTCCATTTAGAATACAAGTCTCCTTACAAATTCATATTTTATTCTCTTACGAAGTTAACTATCCTTAGTCAGTCAATCAGCATTCAAAAGACTAAATTCGTCTTGTCTAAATGTATCGAATATCTAACGAAAAATTCTGTGAATATTATTCGCCGTCAATCATCATTAGAAGTTCATCTACAGACAATCAAAATTTATTATTATTATCATTATTATGAATCATTTGTATGTGGATAATTAATCTTCATCAAATTAAAACAAGAGAATAATGAAACCATCATTGATGATAAATAAACCAAACGTAAAATATTTGTTAATTAATGAGATACGATGTATGTAATTCCAACAGGTTGTTTAATAATTTATCTGAATCATCAAAAATAACAGTTGAATCATCATGATATGAAGTAATAATAATAATAATAATAATAATAATAATAATAATAATAATAATAATAAATAGCGTGTAGATTGATGTACCCGTTCATTTACTAGACGAGGAAAATGTGGGTTAACTTAGTTACCTTTGTCTGTAAGTTGGTACATTATAATGGTTTATCACTGAGTGTATGTGTGAGTGTGTGAATGGCAGAAACCGATTTTACTTGTGTGTATTTGTTTGCCTTATCGAATTATTTCACAGAACTAATACTTATTATTCTGAATTTTGTTAGAAAAAACTGCAAGACTAAACGTATTTAGTAGATGGATTTCTGTATACTTTCTCAACTTGGTGCTTTACTGATTCAATCAGATATCTTGGCTATTCAACTCGTTTCAAATTTCCTTCAATCAGTGAATGTTCCGCTCGTTTATTGTCTAGCTGAAAGATTTACAACTATTTATATTTTCCTGAGCGTTCTCTCAGTCCAAGTAAAACGGAATGAAATGACATGCGCATGGGATTGCCTAATAATTCATTTATTAGAAAGCACTTTCACTGTATTGATTTCTTGAACATTCGATGTCGAAGTACCCGTGATAAATCGATTTATTTTTGTATATACACCGCCGTATTTGATACCGTGTAAAGTATGTCGTACCCTTAATCTATAGTATGTCAACTAAGAAACATAACGTGAATCTATAAATAAATAGTTTAATATCAAGAGGAATCTTGTTTGATTTTTGCTGATTGAAGTTAAGTGACTAGGAAGACGTTGATATCAATTATCAAGTGTTTCCCATCACTTTCAGTTACGATTCAACAATAATTTTACTTGTATGAATTAATACTTCTTTAACTTTCTCCGTTTGTTAGTGAGTTTTCTCTATAATTAAAAATTTGTATAAATGATCATTACTGTGAAGCATTTTGCAAAATGGTGATAAGAATGTCGATATTTTCACATAGTAGGTAATTTGTTTTTTTCTAACTGTTATTTCTTTCTACGTCATCTTCTGACTCGATTTCAGTTAGCAAATATTTCAGCATTAACTTTTACATTATTATCATGACGATAGTCAGCTTAATACTGATACGTTTCTTGACCTAAATTCTGAAATAGTCTTAATCTGACCGTCGCTATCATGCGCTACAAGTACCTGCAACCTCAATCATTACACATGTTTTCATCTAATAATGATACCTTTCAAAGTTACTGAAACTACTTACTGTATGTTCAAAAAATCACCCTTCCACGTGGGATTCTAGCATTTTGATTATATAATATTCCTAGTCATTGTGGCAACAAATATTCTCTTGTCAGCCTAAATAGTTTTCGTGATTTGGATGATGACTTCTTAGAAGTCTCATGTGAAAATGAGGTAGTATTCTATTCCCTCTTGATTTTCACTATTTTTTAGGTCAGTAAGTGATGTGAAACGGAAAGTATTCATCGTTTAATGTAAACAAACAAACATCACTTTATTTAAGTGAAATCATAATATCAAGTACAAAGTTTTGGATACACAGTTTTAAATTAAAAAAAATTCTCTTCTGTTATGAAAGGTTTATTTTGGTAAACGGTTAAGGTTATAAGTTGTTTTCTACTAGTATCTCATCTTTCGTGTTAATAATACTGTTGTACACATGTAAATGATTACTAACTATTACAATCCATCTGTATATGCATGAAATAATAATATTGTTTTCCTTCCCTACATTCAAAATGATTTCCCTAAGGCGGACTATCACCTTTCATAAACAAATTTGTGTGCACATAAAAGTGTTATGTAAATATAAAATATCGAGTTGTAAACTGTATACACTGAAAACCAGTGCTATGGTTGTATGTGGGAGTGGTGATCATGTAGCAGTAAAAGTAATAATGGTGGTAGTAGCCTTTATTATGATTATTCATGCTGTAAACTGACCTTGCAGTTTTACAAAAACTGTTTATGTTTACGTTTTTATTTACTTATTACCAAGTGGATTTATGTGCAAAAACACATTATTATTTGTTATTATTTGCTTTTTCTTCAATGTATAGCTATTGTAATTTTTGTGTAAGGAAATTCAATTCGTCCTTTCTTCATTGCTTACTGTTTCACTGTGGTTGATTTCCTTGACGATCCTTTTTTTAAATTTAGGGATCTGATTATTTATCATAAGTGTTTTCTCTTTTGTTTAAAATCAGCACTTTGTCCTTTAAATAAACACCAATATATATATAACGGAAAGAGGAGCTGTAGCACTAGGGATTATGTTAACTGAACATATTTTCATTCAGTATAAATATCAAATCTTACGACAACTCTTGATGTAAGTTTAGGCCATAAAGGTTACGAGTCTTGCTCATGTAGTCATTGATTGTGTATTTTTTTCCCTGCAGGATCATTCACTTGTTGACTTGGAATATTCCGATGACATAGTTCTGTTTGGTGAAGACGCTGACAAAATGCAGAGTCTTCTGGCCACTCTATACAATAATGCAAGCATGTTCGGGATGCGATTCTTCCCTTCGAAGTACAAAATGTTGCTTCAGGATTGGGTTGCATCGACTCCCAAACTAATGATAGGGAGTGAAGTAGTTGAGCGTGTCAACCACTTCACTTATCTTGGGAGTCTCATCAGCCTTTGTGGTCTGGTGTGTGACGAAATCTCAGCACGGATACAGAAGGCTCGACTAGCTTTTGCCAACTTGCATCATTTATGACGTGGGCGAGATATCCGTCTATCAACCAAAGGACGTGTTTACTGCGCAGCAGTTCGTTCCGTCCTGCTTTATGGCAGTGAAACATGGCCCGTAAGAGTAGAGGATATTCGTAGGTTGCTAGTATTCGATCATAGGTGTCTTCGAAACATTGCTTGTATATCCTGGGATAATCGAGTAAGTAATACAGTTGTTAGGAAACGGGTACTAGGTAAGGATGGCAAATTAATTGATGAAGTAGTGAAACTTGGTCAGTTGAGATGGCTGGGACACATGTTACGTATGCCCAACCACCGACTGCCTCGATGTGCGATGTTTTATGGTGTGGGAGTAGGTTGGAAGAAAGCTAGAGGCGGCCAGACTAAAACATGGTACAAATCCATAAAGTCACTGACAAGTGGACTGAGCCATGTTGGTATGTGTAGACTACCTGGTTGTGGACCGCGAGATGATAGCGACCGATGGTTAGAGACCCTGGATGACATTGCTCAAAATCGTATGCAATGGTGCAAGTGCATACACTTTTTGTGTTCTCCCAAATTCTAATCTTCTGAATTTTTCATGTCCCTTATTTTCTTTCTAAATTTATTTCACTGTATTGTACTCTATAAGTAACATCTCCAAACACTATTTTTTTCCGATTACTGCTTATACTCTTATTACCTCTACCATTACGGGATTTGAATCGACCACGGCTTCTCTGTGCTAATGTGGTGTGGCAACTCGGACTGATGTACGTACGTACGAAGTTCTACGTTGTTACTGACTGACCTGCAGGATCCTAACTACCTATTTCATTGGGCTCCTGTAATATTGGAAGTTACTAGTTGAACGTTGTGTACGACAACCTGAGATAGATCCCGAATAAACTGATGTGTTTTATTCTTATCGGATATATGCTTTGTTTTTGTTTCATTTTATTCATATCCCTTCTTAGCTCATTTGACAATCATTATATCCGCTTGCTGACCTCGTATTATGGAGTCTGTTCGAACTATGACGAATTTAATGTTATTGTATCGATCTATAAACAATATTCTTGAAATTTCCTATGACCTTCTTAAATGTTCTCAAATATTCTTCATTTTTGAATATTCTATGGGGATTTTTAAACCTTCTTAAATGTCTATCTTTCTCCAAGCATTTATCTTCCCTCTGTGTT